ATATATATATATATATGCAAAATATGTATGTAAATAGGTAGATATGTATACAAACACATATATCTATATACATACATACAAATATGTATGTATATATGTAAATATATATTAATGTAAATTTAACATATATATACATATGTGTATAGTTGGGTCGGGTTTGGACTACCTAAGGGCTAGGCCTGGGCCTAACTCAAAAAAATAAAAAGCTCGATTTTTTGGGCCCGAGCATAACCCGAGGACCGAAAATCTAATCCCAGCCTGTGTAAAATTTTGGGCTGGTCCAGTTTGGGCTTGGGTTAGGCCCGCACAAGTTGCATCCTACCTTGATCCTTCTTTTTTTTTTTCCAAAAAAATATTGAATTAGTCAATAAATCGTCGAACAAAATGATTTGGCTCGAACAACAGTTTGTGGTTCAATAAAAGAACATCTAGTTTTTAATAAATTATAATGTAGAAAGACTGAAAATTTTGAAAAACTGGACCTGAAATTGAAAGGGAACCATGGAGGAAGGAGAGCAAGGGAGAGGGATTGAGGGAGAAAACGGGATCTAAGTAATCTCAGGCCTTAGATCTATGAGAGAGAGAGAGAGAGGTGGGGGGGGGGGGTGAGAGAAACAAGATCCAACCACCCAGACCATTAGAATAACGTCCATTGAGCTGCTGCTGCAAACATGGGCGACGATGAATAACATAATGCCGCCTCAAATCTTAGATCATCGTCATCGTCACCTTCTCCTCCTCCTCCTCCTCTTCCTTCTTCCTCTTTCCCTCTTTTATTTCCTTCAGTTTTAGTTTCTTTCATTCTTTTTAATTTCTTTTATATCTTTCTCAGCCATCTTGTTATTTTATTCCCTAAATCTATAAGAATAAGCATAATACTACAAATGTTTGCCCCAAGATTCCAATATGAGGGTTGAGATGTAAAATATATCAAATATTTGATTCAACGGTTTTAATCGTTTGACCTAAATGATTGAACTGCTGATCTGAAAATCAAATATCTACCAAGCCAAGACAAACTTAAATCAGGTGTCAATAATCACACATTGGTCCAGCCAAAAACCAAACCAACCAAACATATTCATATTTGAATCGGACCCATGGCCACATCATGACTTGTGATGAGTTCATCCCTAGTTCGTACTATCTTGTTGCAAACATTGATTAGATAGTTTCGCTATTTTCCTAGGTCCTAATGGGCTGTTGATTATTCACTAATTGTATTAATTAGATGTTTTTAGTATTCAATCTATCTCAATAAATCTTAGCATCACCCTATAATTGGAGTAGATGCCAATTGGGAATTGATGTCAATACACAAATAGGTATTAGTGTTATAGGTGAAGATATCTTTTTAAATTTTGAATTGTTATAGATTTATAATGAAATTCAGAATTCTAAGGTGGAATACAGTCTAAAAATCCCTATTAATTATTATCAAGACACCCCATAGGAGTTGTTAATCTTTTTAGTGATGAATACAACATCATAGAAAAATCTCAAATAATTATGTAATTCTTTTTCTTATTTAGATGATAATAACAATATTTGAAACGAAAACACACCACGACTTAGGATAATTCATCGAATGCACCAACTAGGCTACCCCTACCTCATGGGGTTTGGGGTTTGCGGCACTAAAAAGTTGCCCAGATTATGAATGTCAACTCACTCGGTTACGGCATGAGAAAATCATAAAATTCTCTAACCTTTGCACGGATTCGCTGAGCTCGAAGCCAATATTTGTAAAAAAATATTTTATTTTTATCCTCGCCTTTCGATGGGGCGTTGTAGGGCGGCTTTTTATGGGGGCGGAGATGTGATCTCATGTTAGAAAAGATTCAAAGCAAGATGCGGCTGATACGGTTTACACTCTTGAATGATACTTTATCGTGGCTCATCTTATGTTCATCCGATTAAAAGTGACCCCACATCAATACATCGAAGGCCATGATTCACGGATTTGCCCAAAGAGATTGTTGAAAAAGCATCCTGAAAGTATGGAGGGACCGAGGGAGTGCCGGAGTGCGAGACACCAAGGCATCAACATTCGGACTGTAGTATGAGTGAGAGCGAGCCCGCCAGAAAGTTCTGCAAATTTCCGAGGCTTTCGACATTTTCAAAAACCCTACACGATGTTATCTTCTGTTCCCCTAAAAGGCAAATACAACAAGTGATAACTTCAATTCTCTTTTGTTATACGTCCTTTCATTCTCTCATGCAGATTCTTTTTATCTTATGCTGTTAACTCATTAGCTGCAAGATTTTACCATTTTTTTTTTCTCTTTGTTGGGCAATTACAAGATATTTCTTAGCTCAATCATTTCTTCTCAGTCGCTGCTTTTCTTCTTCTGTTCCCATCCACACTGTTAAACCCTAAGGGGGGTTCCAAAGCTTCTCCACCTCGAAAGCTCTTCTCTTCGGTTCTGTGGTACTCTGTTCTTCTCTCGGAGGGGGGAGAGAGATGGACATTTGCTTGAATCCCTGCCAAAGCTTCCATGCAAGGTCAATTTCGTCCTACTCGGCTTCTATATCCAAATCGACTTTACTGAAAACAACTGGTTTCCCCTTCTTCCTGTGCACGAAGAGGACCGGGAAGAAGACAAACGGTGTATCTTCGAACTTTCAATTCTGGCGGTCACTAGCTTGTTCTACCAATCGGACCAATCGACTTACCACTGTTTATTGCGAGCATGGCTTGGCTGCAAGCCGAAATGATTCGACGAATGGCTCCTTCAGTGGGTCTCCGGCGGGGAAGCGGACTGACCTGAAGAAGATCATGATACTCGGCGCTGGACCCATTGTTATCGGTCAAGCCTGCGAGTTCGACTACTCGGGCACCCAGGCATGCAAGGCTCTCAAGGAAGAAGGATACGAAGTGGTTCTCATCAATTCCAACCCGGCTACAATCATGACTGATCCTGACATGGCGGACAGGACCTACATCGCCCCCATGACCCCTGAACTAGTCGAGCAGGTCATTGAGAAGGAGAGGCCCGACGCTCTCCTGCCCACCATGGGCGGACAGACAGCTCTCAACCTTGCTGTGGCATTGGCAGAGAGAGGGGTCTTGGAAAAGTACAGTGTCGAGTTGATTGGAGCGAAGCTCAATGCAATCCAGAAAGCAGAAGATAGAGATTTGTTTAAACAAGCAATGGAGAATATTGGGATCAAGACTCCTCCTTCAGGAATTGGTACCACCCTGGAGGAGTGTTTCCATATTGCCGACTCTATCAGGGAGTTTCCTCTCATTATACGGCCTGCATTCACGTTGGGTGGCACTGGAGGTGGGATCGCTTATAATATAGAGGAATTTGAATCAATTTGTAAGTCTGGGCTTGCAGCCAGTTTGACATCACAGGTTCTGGTTGAGAAGTCTCTCCTGGGATGGAAGGAGTACGAGCTTGAGGTAATGAGAGACTTGGCAGACAATGTGGTCATCGTATGCTCAATTGAGAATATGGACCCCATGGGGATCCATACAGGGGACTCGATAACGGTGGCCCCTGCTCAGACCCTGACAGATAAAGAATACCAGCGCCTCAGGGATTATTCAATTGCGATCATAAGGGAAATTGGGGTTGAATGCGGGGGTTCAAATGTTCAATTTGCTGTCAATCCTAAAGACGGGGAAGTCATGGTGATCGAGATGAATCCTAGAGTTTCAAGGTCTTCAGCTTTGGCGTCCAAGGCTACTGGGTTCCCAATAGCAAAGATGGCTGCCAAATTATCTGTTGGCTATACATTAGATCAGATCCCTAATGACATTACGAAGAAAACACCAGCTAGTTTTGAGCCTTCCGTAGATTATGTGGTGACAAAGGCAAGTTAGCATTCTTTCCATATCCTGCATTTTAAGTTCTTTTGCCTGTTATTTTACTCGTATTAACATCACTAATAAAAAAGTTGATTAGCCGACTCTGCACGGTTATTGCTTAATTTTAAATGTAGTACTTGGAACTGATAACTAATAAAAAAGTTAGGAAGTGTTTGTTTTTGGTTAGCAAACAATAGGTAACATCACATGCCCTTTAAAAGATCAGAATAGATTACGGTTAAAATCAAATGTACACATACCTGTCGTTTTTATCCAAATCCCCTATCAAATTGTCCATATTTAATTCCTTATTGTTCACATGTTTTTCTTTAATCGGTATAATGTTTATATGCTTGTGGTTTGAAGTATGGATAAATGATTTAATGGCATATAATTAACAACAAATATGGTAATGAACAAAGCAGAATGGTGAAAGAGGATCCATTTATTAACCTACCCCATGTAGTTGGGACAAGGCTTAGTTGAGTTGAATTTGCTTGCCGAGGCATACATTTATCATTTAGACATTATCTGAAGCCCATATGATATTGAACATGCATTGAATATGGATGGATCACTTTCATAGAATAACAATGCACCAAGTACAACTAATGTGCAGTTTCGTGCTGTTTGTGTCTTTGTTTAATTTTCCAGTTGAGGAATGTTCATCACATGTTTGTCATCATTGTGCATGGGCCATGCTAATATTCTCTGTATTGTTCCAATCTTATCAGATGTCACCCTTGTGCAATGTTTACTACATTCTTATTTATGTTTTTGCCCTCCTTTTTAGCACTTATTTACTATATTGTGATTAGCAATTTTCTATGTTAATTATCACTTTAAACAATTGAGGTGTTAGATGTGATTTTTGTGTGGATGAATATCTGCATACCTATTTTTGGATGGCGGTTTTCTGGATGTGTTTTTACAGACTTAATTTTAATTTCTATTTCTATCTGTTAGTGTGAAGCATAGTTACTTCAGATAATGCAGATGAGCTCATCTTGGATGAATATCCAAGAATTTCTATTTCTATCTGTTAGTGTGAGTTTTTTTTTTTTTTGTTGGATCTGTGCTTACTGAACTTAGTATTGAGAAGTCATGCACCAGACCTAAGGCTTGGTATATTAGTTGTTAATTCACTGTCAAGTGAGCTCTTTATAAGAATTAAAGAGGAAAAATAAAGTTTTTTTTGGTAATTCTTGGATCTTATGCAATATCTTGCAAGGATTGAGATGACGCTTTCTTAAAGGGCCATGAATCATCTCAATTGAGCCACAATTTGGAGAGTTTATTCAAATGCCAAGCTATGTCTCAGAGGGAGGGAGGGAGGTGCAATGGTAAAATATATGGGGATAAGAAGTGGTTGGTACTCTGTCTCATACTTCTATATGGGGATAAGAAGTGGTTTGGTGCAATGGTAAAATATCAGGTTGAAAAGTGTGAAAACAGGATTGATTCTAGGATATTTCAATCTGTGCAAAAAATGCAAAGGTTGGATCCATACCCAGTTCTTGTCCACCCATGTTCATGGATAGCTGTGACCAACATTGCTAATGGCCCTTTTAATAGAGTGTGTTTTTTATTCCTTATTTTATCTATGCGCTTTTCTTGTTTTCATATTACATGATATCCTTTTAGTTATATGTTTGGATGGCTATCCAATATTCTTGGTGTCAATCAACTCAGAAATTGGTCCTGTCAATTATTTAAAAACAGTTTCAGAAAACGGCCTGTTTTCATAATTTATCAGGAAAATTAAAAACCTCTGTTCATATGCTTATGCCTATTTCTTTCTCTTTCTGGTTATGAGAGCATCTAACCACGCCAACTTGTTTCCTATTTTTTGGAAAGTTCAGATACCCCGCTTTGCGTTTGAGAAATTCCCTGGTTCACAGCCGATACTGACAACCCAGATGAAGTCAGTTGGTGAATCTATGGCACTTGGTCGGACATTCCAAGAATCCTTTCAGAAGGCAGTTCGATCATTGGAATGTGGCTACTCTGGCTGGGGTTGTGCATATATCAAGGAACTGAACTGGGATTGGGACCAATTAAAGTACAGCCTCCGGGTCCCTAGTCCAGATCGCATCCATGCCATATATGCAGCAATGAAGAAGGGAATGAAGGTGGATGAGATCCATGAACTGAGTTACATTGATAAATGGTTTCTTACACAGCTTAAAGAGCTAGTAGATGTGGAGCAATTCTTATCAGCCCAAAGTTTGTCTCAGCTGACTAAGGATGACCTATATCAAGTAAAGAGAAGAGGTTTCAGTGATAAGCAGATAGCCTTTGCAACCAAATCCACTGAGAAAGAAGTGCGATCAAGGCGGTTGTCTCTTGGGGTAACTCCAGCTTATAAGCGGGTAGATACCTGTGCTGCTGAGTTTGAAGCTAACACTCCATACATGTACTCATCCTATGATTATGAGTGTGAATCAGCTCCCACCAAACGGAAGAAGGTTTTGATTTTGGGTGGAGGACCAAATCGGATAGGTCAAGGTATTGAGTTTGACTACTGCTGCTGCCATACATCTTTTGCTCTTCAGGTGTGTGTTTCCTTATGATTTTCTTTTGGATTGTTAGCTTTTGTTTCAAGTAAGTTGTATACATATGGGGCCATTATTGGGTTTTCTTCCCTACATAGAATGTGTTCATTAATCTAGACCATCATGGCAACAAGGACACCTATTCAATAGTACTTTGGCCATAATTGATTTTAACTGGATGATCCTAGCATCTGAGAGATATTTTTGTCCTAGGTAATTAGGGTGGCACTGGATGTATGTGTTGGACAATTAGTGATTTGTACAGTGACTCTCAGATTTATTGATAAAAAATTGACATTTGGATTTATGTCTACTCCAACTGGTGGCCCATCAGTTGGAGGTTAAATCAATAAGTGCATCCCAGGTTCAAAGCACAGTCCGGCGTGTATTGGTACTTTTTTGTTAGGTTTTATTTATTTTTTTAAAACTGGTTCAGAGGGTTGGTTTAAGGCCCGGCTACCCTCTGAACCAGTGTCTGACCTGATACAACCCCTGGAGGGGCGTATCGGGAAGCCACCGGCACGATACGTATCAGCCGATATGGGCCAATACGTATTGATACTTTGAACCTTGAGTGCATCATATATAATGCCCTCGATGTTGTGCTTTTTTCCTTGGTTCCATAGAAGAACTTAATTATTGCATCTAATTTGATTTCATCCTCATTTTCTCCTCAGGAAGCTGGATTCGAGACAATTATGATGAACTCTAATCCCGAGACTGTATCAACTGATTATGACACAAGTGATCGGCTCTACTTTGAACCACTAACAGTTGAGGATGTTCTGAGCATCATTGACTTGGAAAGACCTGATGGCATCATTGTACAGTTTGGGGGGCAAACACCTCTCAAGCTGGCACTCCCGATTCAACACTACTTGGATGAGCACAAGCCCTTATCTTCCAGTGGATCTGGTCATGTTAAGATATGGGGGACTTCGCCTGATTCAATTGATGCTGCTGAGGACCGTGAACGGTTCAATGCGATTCTAAAAGAACTGGAGATTGAACAACCAAAAGGTGGAATTGCGAAGAGTGAGGCTGATGCATTGGCCATAGCCATGGACATAGGCTATCCAGTTGTTGTCCGGCCTTCGTATGTGTTGGGTGGGAGGGCAATGGAGATTGTGTATAGTGATGACAAGCTCATAACCTATCTTGAGAATGCTGTTAAGGTGGATCCAGAACGTCCTGTCCTGATTGACAAATATCTTTCAGATGCTATTGAGATTGATGTTGATTCACTTGCTGACTCACATGGTAATGTAGTCATTGGAGGAATCATGGAACACATTGAGCAAGCAGGGGTCCATTCTGGAGATTCAGCCTGCTCACTTCCCACTAAAACTGTTCCCTCCTCATGCTTGGAAACAATTAGGTCATGGACAACAAAGCTGGCTAAGAGGTTAAATGTGTGTGGGCTTATGAACTGCCAGTATGCAATCACGGCATCTGGGGAGGTTTTCTTGCTTGAGGCAAATCCCCGTGCATCACGCACAGTCCCTTTTGTCTCCAAGGCAATCGGGCACCCACTAGCCAAGTATGCATCTCTTGTCATGTCAGGAAAATCTCTCCATGATATTGGGTTCACAAAGGAGGTGATTCCGAGCCATGTCTCTGTAAAGGAAGCTGTGCTTCCATTTGAGAAGTTTCAAGGCTGTGATGTGCTGCTTGGCCCTGAGATGCGTAGCACTGGAGAGGTCATGGGTATTGATTTTGATTTCCCAGTAGCTTTTGCCAAGGCTCAGATTGCTGCAGGGCAGAAGCTACCAACCTCCGGGACTGTGTTCCTCAGCTTAAATGACTTGACAAAGCCACATCTTTCCACTATGGCCCGAGCTTTCTTGGGGCTTGGTTTCAGTATTGTTGCAACATCTGGCACAGCGCATGTGCTTGAGTTGGAGGGCATCCCAGTGGAGCGGGTGCTGAAGATGCATGAGGGACGTCCCCATGCTAGCGATATGATTGCCAATGGACATATCCAATTGATGGTTATCACAAGTTCGGGTGATGCACTTGATCAGATTGATGGCCGGCAATTGAGGAGGATGGCTCTTGCTTACAAGGTTCCCATCATAACAACGGTTGCAGGAGCTTTGGCAAGTGTGGAAGCAATAAAGAGCATGAAGCACAGCACTGTCAAGATGATTGCTCTTCAGGACTTTTTTGACGTTCAGGCAGGGCGAGAGAGTTGCTACAAGTTGCAGCCTGCTTCGTCTTCTCTTTGATTCATGCAGTTGTTGCATGTAAGCAAATTTCTTCATTTTTTTCCCTTTTTTCTTAATTATTTTCCTTTTATGTTATTATCTTGGATAACTTTTTGAATAAACCATATGTTTTATCTGTTCCCAATTTCCTTTCTTGTACCTATGTTTTTGTCGGGGATGTCCTAGTAGTAGGCTTCTTAGTCTCTTGATGTAATTTACTGTAGTGGGTGGAGATTTAATATATAGTTTAAAACCCTTGTAATCTCAGTTAATGAGTATGATTAGCAGCTAATGATAAAAAGTTCTTTATTTCAATTAAATTACCTTTCAAGATTTTGGAAAATTTCTGAAAGCTATTTCTTTTAGGCAAAGAAGATGTTGTCTTTTGATATCAGTAACTTTTGAAAGTTGGCTGAAATAGAACATGCTAGATATTTTTTTTTGGATCGATATAAATGCATCACACTCAATAGGTAATCTTAAGGGAATCATGACAATTCATTTTACTCAGGTAAAATTTTCCAATCTTTGACCAAATTAAGAAAACCTAAGTGAGTAGTTTCTTTATGTTTGCATTTTTTTTTGGATAAATGATTGAAATTTTATTCATGATAATCAGAATGATATTACAATACAGCCTGCCCAAGGGAGAGGCACAAGCTGGTACCCCTCCACAACAACAACAATGTACTACCTCAGACTAGTAAAAGAAAGTTTACAGAGCTGCCCAGAATAAATGTTCCCTCGATACCCCTTGTTTAGCTAACCCATCCGCTATGGTATTAGCTATTCTACCCACCCACTGATAATTAACAGTCATGTTCTTTGAAAACCAATTAGCTTTCCTCATAATATCCCTGTAGCACCAAATAACTGAAGCTGGATTTTTTAACCAACCCACAACGACTTTGGAGTCTCCTTCAATAAGCAAATTCTGAATTTCTAACTGGTCTGCTATCTAAATACCTTGTACTGCCGCTAGAAGCTCAGCTCTAATAGAGTCTCCTATACCCATGGAGCTTGAGAATAAAGTTAATATATTACTATCTTTATCTCTCAGCACCCCACCTATCCCTGATGGACCCGGATTTCCTTGGCTGCTACCATCAAAATTCAGTTTTGTCCAGTTTTCTGAAGTAGGCACCCACACAGCAGGTATCCTGTTCTTCCTGTTATTCCTACTAGCCGCAACAATCCAGTTCCTCCAAATGTCATCAAAGGAATATATTTTAAAGGAATCTAATGATCTTAGCCAATGGATTGCCCTGGTCAAAAGGCAATCCTTTACATTCTGAATATTTCTCTCCTTCTCTTGGAAGATCCTTGCATTTCTTTCTTCCCAAATTGTCCATAGAGCAGCAGCTCTAATGCACCTCCACATTGTTTTACCAATTTTTGTGGGCCACACAAAGAAGGAAGGGTCAAAGATATGATCTATGGCTGTGGTCAAGTTCCATCTGCAACCAAACAAAGCAAAGATCCAACCCCAAATAGCAATAAGAAAAGAACAGGTTAAAAGTAAGTCAGAGCAATCCTCACCATTAGCTCTGCAAAGTACACACCAATTATGAGACAAACACATAGAAGGCCTTCTCTTCTGCAATAAGTCTGAAGTGTTGATTTTCCTATAGAACACCTCCCAATAGAAAATAATAATTAGGTACAGGTTTAGACCAAATCTCCATAGCTGGAAAACCCACTTGTCCCGAGGGAGAGCAAAGGGACTTAAAGAAGGAAGCACACGTGAAGTAACCTTTTGGGTTAGGAGACCAAAGTCTCACATCAGATCTTAAAGGGTCCAGACACTTTCAAGTAGTGACAAAAGGTCTGAAACACAGGAGAGTTCATGATCCCTCAAGCCCCTACGAAACCCAAAGTCCCAATTCAGAGAAGATGGAGAAGCAGATGTTGGAAGAAAGTGAGAGATTGTTTTACCCTTGTAGCAAGAAAGGGAATAAAGAGAAGGGAAACTGCCCTTAAGGGCAGAATTGCCCACCCAGATGTCTTCCCAGAACAAAACAGAAGTACCAGAATTGACATCATACCTGATACAGTTGAGGAAAAAGGAAGAATACTCTGAATTGCTTTCCAAGGAGTTGCCAATGTGGCTCGACATGATATACCAACATCCCATCCATTTCCCGAATTGCCATGTATACTATCTATCACCTCATGCCAAAGTCTCTCCTGTTCTAAGGGCCATCTCTACAACCATTTTCCTAGGAGTGCTTTATTCTTCAAAACTAAGTTCCCCAGTCCCAACCCACCTTCCTCTTTCCTCTTACACACTATTCCCCAATTTATTAAGTGATCATTTTTTTCCTCCTTTGGCTCCCAAAGAAAATTTCTCATTAATTTCTTAATTTCTTGGCCTCTCTAATAGGAATCCTAAACACAAAGAAGTAATAAATTGGCAGATTTGCTAAGGAAGTTCTCAGTAAAATAACTCTACCCCTTAAAGAAATATAGCTCCTTTTCCACGAGGCTAACCTTTTCTCAAACTTTTCTAGAACTGGGGCCCAAAAGGTGCTCTCATTAGGGTTGGCTCCTAGAGGAAGACCTAAATACTGTAAGGGCCAAGAGGAAATGGGACAACCTAGATACTCAACCACCGACTCAATAGTCCTCTCATCCGGATGCACACCTACCACACAGCTCTTTTCCATGTTTATTTTGAGATTTGATACTCTCTCACATCGCTTTATCAAAGATTTGAGATTACTTACTATTCTCCTATCACCCCCTTCACAAAAGATTATTAGGTCATCAACAAACTGTAAATGGGTCACTCTAATCCCGTTCCTTCCTATCCTCCAATCTCTCACTACACCTTCCATGTCTGCCTTAGAGATCAAACTACTGAAAACATCTATAACTAGGATTAAAAGGAAAGGGGGTCACCTTGCCTTAACCCTCTAAAAGCTGGGAAGAAATCCTTGACTACCCCATTAACCAAGATCGAAAAGTGGCAAGAACTTATACAGCCCTTTATCCAATTACACCATCTAACTCCAAACTCAACACTCTAGGACTTCTAATAAGAAACTCCAATCCACAAGATCATAGGCCTTTTCTAAATCCAGCTTACAAACAAAACCTTACTTTTCGGACTCTCATATCCTCCACACATTCATTAGCTATTAGAATTTGATCTGTTATTTGTCTCCCTTGCATGAATGCTCCATGGGCTTGACTAATGATGGAGGGTAGCACTACTTTAATCCTCAAGGATAACCCTTTAGCCAGGATTTTGTGAATGCTATTAACCAAACTGATTGACCTAAAATCTTTAGGATTTTTTTGCTTGTTTCTTCTTAGGGATTAGAGCTATGAAAGTAACATTAACTCCAGGGCTTACTTTGTTATTATCATCAAATTCTTTAAACACAGCACAAAGGTCTTCTCTTACCACATTCCAATAGTCTTGATAAAAAGCCATGGTGAAGCCATCTGGCCTAGGGGCTTTGGATCTGTCCATTGAAAACACTGGATGCCTAACTTCCTCTTCTTCAAAACTTCTCTCTAACCAGATTGCATGCTCTTCAGACAGCCTGGGCCAATTTAGACCTTCCAGCCTTAGTCTATTATTCAATGTCTTCCCTGCAATTGATTTAAAGTGATCCAAAAACACTTTTGCTATCTCATCTTGATTTGTGACTTCCTCCCCATCCACTTCTAATTTGGCCACAAAGTTTTTTCTTCTCCTCCCATTAGCCAACGCATGGAAAAATTTTGTATTGCCGTTCCTTTCTTTGATCCATTTGTGTCTTGACTTTTGCCTCCAGGAAATCTCCTCTCTAAGAAGAACTTCTTCCAATTCCTTTTTTAAGCTACTTCTCAAAATCCTTTCTTGCTCATTCATATTTCTCTGGGATTCTTTGGAGTCTAACTCATCAATCTTGGACATCAAAATATTCTTTCGATCCTCTACCCTTCCAAAATGCTCCCGATTCCACTCCTTGATCCTAGCTCTCAATCTCTTCAACTTTTTGTGGAACCTTACACCTTTCCACTTTACCCCTCTCAATTCTTCATTCCACCACTCACCAACCTTTCGTTCAAAATCCGGATGAGTCAGCCACATGTTCTCAAATCTAAAGGGTCGTGGTCCAAAGCCTAGAAATTCTTAACCTAATAGTATAGGGTAGTGATCAGATGTAACTTGTTGTGAGGATTATTTAATTGTTATTTTATAGTTGCTGTTAGTAGGTTGTCCTCTTAAGATGCTGTCAGTTAGTTATTTTCGTTCTTTCTTATTAGTTTGTTTCTAGGGAGTGCCGCCAGGGGCATACTTGTAATTTCCATTCTTTTTATATTAAGTTAATATAAATAATGAACTGGCGGCAGCCAGAAGGAGGTTTTTCTTTTTCTCTCAATCATATCTTCCTCTTCTTCTCTTTCTCTCTCTCGTCTCTCTCTCTCCATGAATGATTACATGGTATCCGAGCAAGGTT